ATGTCAACCGTACTAAAACAGCTAAATCTTATGTATATTTTCAAAATAATTAAGTGGTTACATTTATTCATTTGTATCTACATACATACCACTTGTTGAAAAATATATAAGGCATGACGTAAGATTTTATTTTGAAATACCCACTATAATGTAATTATTTTATAGTCTGGTTTGTTCATGTTGATTATAATGATTTTTATATGATTATTTTATGTGCTATAAATTTAGTCCATCATTATTACTTTTGGTAAATAATACATTTTAAAATGTGGACAGATATGCCTTTTCTGCTACAAAACTGATTTATGCAGCCTACAGGTGAAAACTTAAATTTACATGCTGTTAAAATGTAAGCTGTAATTAATCTTTTCAGGAAAAAGAAATGCATTGCTTATATGTTGGCAATGTATCAATTCTCATGGGTCATTTAGATAATTATTAAGGCAATGGAAGAGGTAAATTGCCAATTACTACATGTAAAATTCCAATTTTCTTTCAAACACTGGCTTTAAGCTATGGATTCTGTTCCCTTTTGATAGCTCATAAGTTATTTTTTTAGTATTTAAGCAGAAGGTTCAGGCTGGCTACAATCTAGCAGAATACATTTTATTTTGGTTTTAAAACTCCACATGCAAAATTACTTACTGCTACTATAAAATGGAATTTAATGTTATACAAATCTTGCTAGTGTTTTAAATAAAAACAAAAGTTTGATTTCCTTATCTTTATTACTTTTTAAAATGTATAATTTAACAGGATTATTGTTAAAATGTATCAAACATGTTTTTTTTCCAAGCAATTTATAAGTTATGGCTAATATTACTGGAGATGTCAACAATTTTTTATTTTGATTCTCATTATTTTCAGCAGTGAAAGGCCCAGAAAATAAGCTCAGAAATAATAAGAAATTTGAGGTAGTTAAAATTTGCTATTACAGCTGTATAAGCCAAATAAGACTGTACTTGACCAAATAAGACTGTACTTGTGTGTGTGTGGATATGTGTTACGGTTAATGCTTTGGGGTATAATATAGATTTTATTTTAATATTGAGAAAATTCTTACTAGCTTCTAACACCTAATTTCCATCTATCTTCCAAGAAAATCCACATGAAGTATTTTTATATTCTTACTTTCTTACTACTGATTCTGTAATGTTATTGTGGTTTTGATAAATCTATTCTAAAAAAGTAGGGGCAATCAAGTACAGTACCTAATAATAAGGCCAGTACACAGTAGGCACTCAATAAATGCTGTTAGTGGACATAATATTAACTGTACACTTAGCCCAGCAAGAAATCAGTGGATCCATAAAATGCGAACATTGAAATACCAGGAAATAATTTTCTGACTATATATCAGTCAATTTGATCTATCAATCAATCTGTCTATATTTCTACCTCCGTATACATATATGCAATAAGGAATGTTTTATAGATTTAGGTAGATGGGAAACCAATAGCTCTAGTTCAAGTAGACTCATTTTACGATGCTAACAGTGATAATTGGTAATCTTAGCATTTGTCAGTCAGTTAGAGAATCTCCACTAGCATATTTTGAGACTGAAAAAGAACCAAGCAGTAGTCTCTAAGCGCAAGAGGGTCGCCATAATTTTTCTTCAGATGCCGCTATGTTTGTAGCACAAATAGCCTGTTAAGAACATTATGATTTTCAAAAGGAATTATTTCATAATCATATTATTGCCTTGGTCATTAGCAAAGTCAAAGTTGGACAAAATAAAATAGTATGACTAAAAAGAACTGAATTATAAACTACTTAATTTTGTTTAATTTCAAAAATTTGTACCAGATCACCAAATGAGATCACTCCTTTCCAACCCATACCTCATCTCTATGAATGTATTATAAAGTTAATTAAGTGAAATACACAAGAGAGAACTTAATAATAAAGCTGACATTACAATAATTCAGGCACTACTTGAGAAACAAAGGCTACAAAAATTTAAAGAAGAGCCAGGAGGGTATGGAGAGAAAAAGATGGATGCCAACAGTTGGGATTCACATCATCATATCCTTGAATTTATGGGAAACCTATCCATATGCTACTATAGCATTATTCACTGAAATTCTCTCCTGGGTATAAACAGCAGGCTTTGAAAATGCTATTTAAAGCTAACCAGGTTTTTTTTTTTTTTTAAACGATCCTTTAAATTATTTTCCCTTAGACTGTAAATTGACTTAGGAGCCATTCTATGTTCTCAAACATCAGGTTTAGACAAATATATTATTTTCAGGTTCTTCTCAGGCATTTTATCTTTTCAAGATTTTAACCAAAGTCATTTTCATGGCATTCATGAATCAGTAATTCAGAACAGAGTTTTCACCATCTTCTGCTGCCATTGTCAGATAGTTCTAGGGTTCTAATCTTGTACCTCCACTCGCTAGGTATCAGATTCTGGTAAAGCTACATAAATTTCTAAAATGAGGCATAATCTTGTCAGAATTAAATGAGGTAATATGTGTAAATTGCTCAGCATAGAGTCTTGCACGTATTACTAGTCATATTAATCCAGGATTCAAATCCACCAATGGATCCGGCATATTTTCTGGATACATGCAAATGCCCTTAATATGGCTAAAAAGTGCTCTTGGTTTGACCCGTGTAACTCTCCACCTTCATCTATCACCATTTTGCCATTCGCATCTCCTCACCACAGCCACACCAAATTATTTACTCTTTCAATATTTTATGTTGTTAGAGGCCTTTATGCTTTTTCTGTTCCATGACTGTTCTTTCAAGAGTCCCAGCCTCTCCCCCTCCAGAAGCCTTTCACCACTCACGTGTGCTGAACTAGTCATCTTCATTATGCTGTCACCATACCCTTTGTATATTTTTATGATAGTACACGTCACTAATCTTGTATTTTTTATTTAAATTTTTTATTTTCCTCCCAGAAATATAGACTGAAACGCTATTAGCTCTTCTTATTATTTTTTTATCCCCAGAGCCTCATATGAGTATGGCACATATTAAATATTCTATACATGTTGGTTGGATGAGTGAATTGCACTGAGTCACTTGTGAGTACGAGACCTTTCTTTTTATCACAGAACGTCTGAAGAAACTGTCCTCAAAGTACAGTGAGTTGAAATCTAAAGTTAAAACCAAATCAAACTGTTAATATTTAAATCAGGATTTTTGTTAGTATTACACTAGATGACCTTCTCTAAAAGTCCTGAATGAACACAAATGACTTATTTAGATTTAGCTGTATGAGTTTATCTGAGAGTGCATTTCTAACTTAAAAACGGAACACTCAACAATGTCACACTTTAAAAGTCAGGTGAATTTTTTAAATCTGTGAAATAAAACAAGAGAAGTGCAAAGGCTATTAACTTTTCCAGGCTGTGAAAAGAAACACAGCCTAGAAAAGACAATGATTCGACTATCTCGGACCAAACTTTCCTTGGACTGTATCCTTAGCTTTATACCTAGGCCAAGGTTTGACAAGTGGGCAGGGAAAACAAACAAACAAACAAACAAACAAACAAAACAGTGGAAAAGACATAACAGGGACAAATCTTTTGATATTTTTATACAGATTTCATTGTGGATCTATGTTTTGTGATCATTATACTCTACTCCCAATAATTTTCTCTCTAGTTTAAAAAGTCAATAGTCTCCAGCAGAAATTCAAATGACTAATACTGATACAAACACTCAGGTCACAAGTATTCTTTTTATTAATTAGGTTACTCATTCTCCCTAAGCTGGGGTCCTTCTTACTTAAATATATCAGCACTTTTTCCCTTTGTGGTTAGATATAATTGTAACGAAGAAGTTCTTATGTGTGAATACTATTCATCAACGTAAAACAACGAAAATATTCCTTCTGTCACAGATCTGAAACCCAAGTAGCTTCTTCTTGAAGGAGTAATACACTGAGAAACTATGGCCTATTTCACGGTCTTACAAAAGACGCTTCATAAAAATACAAATGGTAAGATGTAGTAGGATGGTGGAGTAGCTAACAGCATAGGCCTTTGAATAAAACACGCTTCCACTGCAAATTTTAGCTTAGCTTCGTACCAGTTGCTTAAAATTTGGGCAAATTGTTCAACTCCTTTATAGGTAAAATTACAAAAATAATACTTGTCTCACTGGATGTTGAAAGGTTTGAATGAACAACTCCATGTAAAATATTTCATGTCATTTTAGGCATTTTTAGGGGCTCAATAAATGCTAGCTATTATTATTGTTATCTATAAGAAATTACTATAATAAATTTACTTTTATGGAATTATTATATGAATACAGTATTTTAACAATGATGGAAACAGATTTTTCTTATATATTTGGACACTTTTTCATAAAGATGTCTGGCAAAAGCAATCCCTACTATTCTCACAAAAAGAGCAGTAAGATGGATTTCTGAAGGCCAAAAAGAGTTCATTGGTAAAGCTGGATTTAGAATGAATAAAAGACTTCAAAGCTGGTGTTACATGACATTGGAACATCTCACTCCCTTCACCTCCCATGTTGGTTTTCAGCATGCTGAGGCTCCGGAATTAATGTGGGTTTCTGATGAAGCCCATATATCCGTACTTAAACTTACAATGTACATGGCAGTGGTGTTTATCTCCTGACCACTGTTTTTATTGACCTGAGATAAAAGGCCAAAGCTGCACAATTCTGAATTGCTAAAATCATTTGTTCATGGCTTTATTCTCTTCCAAGTTTTCATTAGGATCATATCATGATGCCAGGACTGGTGAACTATTAGGCATCCATAGAGACTCTGTGTAATAGCATAAAGGGCCACATTTTGGCCATAGTACTATGGTGGTAGAGTAAGGCATTTCATGAAAGCATTTAATGATAACACAAAGTATTAACTGAAATGACTGTGTGAGTATTTACATGAACAAACTCTCATTTAAATGAACTATTAAAAACATGGGACACCTGATTTTTAAATATCAGGTCAAATTGGAATGATACTAAATTCGTATCTTACTGTATATCCTTGTGTGAAACTTACTTTCATCTCCTGTTTCAAATTCAAATTTCTGACTGTAGCCACTGTATCCTGTTGCAGTTCTCACTCGGATGTGAAATACATACTTGGTGGCTGGCTTCAGACCTGTGATGATGACACTGGGGGCCTTGGACCTTGTGGAAGAGTAGGTCAGCTGCTCATGTTCCTGGGGGACAGAAAAAAAGGAGAAAGGAAATGAAACGGAGTTATTCTACCTTTTCCTAGAAACATTCCAAAGTTTAATTGAGGAATTATGCTCTGAATACTCAAAGTATTGATTACAAAGTAGTGTCAGCATGGTTTTCCATAATTTGGCATTTAGTTGTTTATCACAACGATGCATATGATATGGTCCTATTTGGAAATTTATTAAGAAACATGATTAGTCTTATATACACTGAACTTGTATTTTTGGTGATTTAGATTCCTGACCCAACTCTAAGAAATGGTGGTGGTGTGAGAATATGTTTACATAGAATGGCAGCTGCATCTTGAGCAAAACGGGCACATCAGATCAGACCACACCAGCAGAGTGCAAGGAGCAAAGGTGGGAGAATTCAAGTACCAGCTACTCACTTCTACCCGCAGGTAGTGCCAAAATGCCGGCGCTATCCGTGGGTAGACCTGTGGGTGAAAGGAGAAATAAATTAATTGCTTTTTAAAGTTTGAAATCTTTCATCCTGAAGTCAATTACTTGGTGCTGTACTTCAGTGTTTCCCCAGTAGTAACACCGGAAATTGAGTCAAATTTAGGAAATAAAATGATGAATTTTTTCCTGTAAGGGAGAATTGACTCCTCCCCTAAGTATTAGAGTTGATTTTTAAACATATATTAGTTACACAGTGATTGTGAAGTAGATTTACAAATAATCTGCCCATGGAAAAGCACTGGAGACACAGAAAGGCATGAAAGACCACACCTGCAGAATCAGGCAGGGCTGGAGGCTTGGTTCTCAGTCTCTTGCATGAACTGCCAAATTATCTCACTTCACTAAATGGAATTGAACTTGCCAGGGCTTTCTGGATGATCTAGGCAGTCAGGATTTGTTACATGATCTCTGTTGCCCACTACCTCAGAACAGGACAGTTCATTTTACCTGTCTGTGTAAGAGATTGTCCACAATATGCTGGTAGTGGGGACAAATTAAACCTACACTGTTTTTGTATGGTGTTATTTTTCAATAACTTTACAATGATATTTTAACAGGGTATCTGGAAAAAAATGCATTTGTGTAAACAAAAGCCATAGGTCAAGCTAGGTCAACAGGCCCTCAAGTTAATTTCCACATTCTCATAAGAAACCTCAAGATTTTCAGAGATGAAAAATGACTTTCAAGGTCACTAGTTGAATCATCCATTTGATGTTTAAATTCTGTCTATAATATTCCCATCAAAATTTCACCTAGTGTTTGCCTGAAAACCATTGTTATTTAGGAGAACTTCCCAACTAACAAGACAAGGTATGAAAATGTACACATATGGAGAATGTGTCAAGCTTCATGTATTTGCTGGTGACGCTTTAAGATTTAGAACTATGAAAATCATTTCTCTTAAGCTACTTTTCAGAAAAAGGTCTTATCTTAAGGATCATTTTTAAACTTTATGACCTTCCTTGTCAGAACTTTATATGCTATATGGTTATTCTGTGTCTAGCTAAGGAACTGAATTTGCCATTTATACCCCAAATAATAAAACTGCGTATTAAACATAAAGTACAAAGAAAAAAATGAGTTAAGAACAGCAACATTTTAAGTAAAAAAAAGACAATACCAAAAAACTGCAACTTATATTTATCTCTAGGTGATTTTAAGATTAGAAAGTAAATAAATATTTATCAACCTAGCATAAAATATAAGCAAATAAAGTCTATAAATCATCGGTGGTGACAATGAGCTGTTAGGGGTTAAATGTAGGAGCTTGCTCATATCAAGGCATTAATAATTAGGTGGCTTAAAACACATGTTGTGGAGAAAAAATTCTTGTGAGCTATTAGAAAAAAAGATATTGTTTCTGGCAGGAATTTCTAGAACATTTGGATTTTTCAATCTCATATACAAGAGGAGAATATGCTACTTTTCACAGAATTTCTACAACATAAGAGTTATGGTGCATTTTGAGTGCTGTTTCACAATGTGAAATGATGACTGAGATAAGAACTTTAAAGCAATGAAAAAAAGCATTTAGTCTTATCCCAAAAGAGAGAAGATATGGTTCAAAAGTTTACTCTTAGAATGGCCCCAGGATAATTACACGTCTTATCCTTGTTGCTTCCCCAAAAGATAGCTAAATAGTAATTTCCTATTCAGTAAAGTTATAGGGAATAAAGGACACCTTTTGCAGGCAGTTTTTAGCATTTTTGTTGTTACATACAAAAGTGTACCTGCAGCTAAATCCTTGGAATAAAAATCCAACAATAGCAAGTGTACTTAAAGGGTTCTTCAGCCTGAATCACTCACCACTGGTGAGTGCTGCTGCCTTGTCTTATGTCTTGCAGCTTGCTGACATGATGAGGAAGAGGGTCCAGGAAGAAGCAGTCACAAGAATTCTTCACAGTACACAGCAGACCTCTCTCCTCCTGGTGTTTTTAAGCTCTTGGGAAACCAAGTTAGCTTTTATCTGTGTTATGCATAGGTAGGACACTATCGTCCCAGAATTTTGGCCAGTTGCCTTTCTGCTGATGCATCAACTCCAATTCAAAGGTGCTGTCACCAGGTAGAGACCACACTTTGCCACAGAGCCATTGAGATGTTTTCTTCATCCTGGCAGGCTGAATTTTGAATAGTTTAGATAGGGTATGTTGGCATGCTTTTCTGGAGTTTGTACCATGATGGCACTGCTAGCTGTATGACACGTAAATCTTCAACTTAGCTAGGGAACACATCCCATTGTTCATAAAGTTCTATTTCTCATCTTTGCTGAATCTGTAATAAAATTCCTCTTCTCATTCTTAATATTATTTATTTTTGTAATTTCTTTTTTTCATGATCAAGCTTTCCAGAGGTTCAAAGACATTTTTGGCTTTTTCCTATTTTTTTTAATCTATTATATTTGATATCTGTTCTTACTATAAATTTTCTTTCTTCTTTCTTCTTTCTTTTTTGTTAGTTATGTTGTCTTCTAACTTATGTTTCATGTTTAACTCAATATCAGCACATTCTTTCAAATATATAATTTAAGCTTACAGATTTCATGCTAAGTACTGCCATAGTTATACTTTATAAGGTTTCATAAAATGTATTATTAATTGGTTCTAAGTACTTGTTAATATCTAAAAATATGATTAAATTTTTTTTTGTGGCAGATCCAGAACTATCGCACATTTTTGTGGATTAAGACATGGTATCAGGGAGTAAATAAATGGCATAAAATGAACCTCCAAAGGCATAGTCCCATGGGTTGCAAAGCAACTGAACCGTGAATAGTGCAGTGGATGCTCACTGGCTGAGAGCACTGGCCATCTTGTGCACTAATGCTTGCTGGCTGAAAGTGAAACAGCTTGTAACAAGACTTCTTCTTGGATGAGTACAGAAAATAGCACCAATTGTGGGAAAAAATCATCGAGAAGCAACAAAATTTAACACATTTTTAGTTGTATCATTTTCTAAAATAAAACATATATACAATTCCTGTTTGATATATTTGTATCCAAATTAAACAAAATAATAGTTCAGAACCAAATAGTGTGAACATAGAGCACTGTCAAACAGGGCAGGCACATACTGTTCTCTAGAGATACTGACTTTTACTTATGATTCTTTTCCCATGGGAAGACCCTGGCACTTACATTTAGGTACTGATCCTTCCAAGATGCTGAGAATGAAGGCTTTTCTAGGAATCATATTGTCACACTGAACCTTTCATTTACCAGAAATACTGAAGTTAGCTTTATCTCTATAGGTGTCAACTTTTAGAGGTGTCAACTTTTCATGGTAACTAAAAGGGATCCTCTTGCTAGAGTCTGGAACCTATTAGCATTCAGTCTGAAAATTATAACTTAGTGAAAAGAAATAGGCTCAGGTGTTCAGACCCTATGGTATATCTTTCTACAGTCAGACATAACAGGATCTGTATCGATAGAAGACCGCATGGAAAGAATTCTAGGTAAAAGTTGTCCTGTCTTGGATATTATCTTGATTCTGCTTCTATTATGTACCCTGTCAAATTACCTTTTAGGTTTTGATTTACTCCTCTAGAAGACTCATTCATTCTACAGGAACTCATTGTATCTCATGGTATGTATAAGGTTCTAGAGCACTTTTTTAGGTGTAGCTTACGTAATCACCAAAGTTCTACCTAGCATTTCAATTCGATATTTTTTTAATGTCAGAAATGCAGGTGTTTTCCCTTCTGCTGTGAATTATCGTCACCACTCTTCATCACCCTCTCTTGGGTTTACCATTTCCGTTTATGGGAATAGATTCAATAGACCAGCACAGTGGTTATCTTTTAGCTGGTTCGCTTACTCCTAAAGTCTTTGGGCCTACTGGGATTTCTAAAAGGTGTCACCTCTTTGTTTTATTTTTAATTTTAAATTAATTGGATTAAATATATGATTAAAATTATATTTTAAGTTATTCTCTAGACATATATATCTAAAGACATAACAACAATCATAATAACAACGATTTATGTAGAGCTTTACAATTTATAAGGTGTTTTCATACACATTTAAAAATTTAATCCTCATAATAGTCTTGTGAAATAAGAACTGGTAATATTTTTATTTCCATTTATCTATGATCAAATTAGTCCAGAAAGAATAAGCAAATTAGCAAAGCAAGTCACACAACTTGGCTTCCATCTAAGTTTTGCTTTTTCCACTACACCCCATTTAAGCAAATATGTCCAGAGTATATATGTCTATGGATTAGACTGAGCCAAAGTAGTTTTTTTCCACACTTTATGTTCTCAACCATCTATACACTAGAAGTAACTTTAACACAGCTTATGGACCACATAGTAATGATTTGTTGCCTAATCATTAGACTATGTTTATATGAACAACTAGTTCCTCAACTGGAAAAAAATTCTCAACACCAAATGTTTAAATACACGTTTCAAAGGTAAAATTATTTCTATTAAGGTTAACAAATCCATGCACGCTGCCTTTATTTTTATTTTCTATTGATTTTATGTCATATAGGCAGATATTAAGTAATATAGGAGGCAAATAAATCACCCAGTCTTGCATGGAATATACAGTATTATGGTTCAAGCCTGGGAATAGAATTTGTTTAATAAAGTCCAGGAGATTCTTTTAGAAGTTTTGATGTATAAAGGTAACTTCTGGCTTTAAGTCATACCCATTTGAAAATAACAGTAATAGGTGCAAGTGCTATTAATATGTAATAATAATAATAATAATACTTCACTATTCAAATCCTTTCTTTTTTGGGGGATGATTTAATTAAGACAGTGGTAAAGCTCTTGTTCTACTGGCTAGAGGACTGAAGCTATAGATTGTTTGAGAAACAAAATAACATCAAAAAATAGATATTAATGGTTCTGCTAGAAGTCATCTAAGTCATTTACATCCTTTCTCTCTCTCCATTTTTGTTTGACTTCCTCACCCTGCCTCTCTGTCACACTCACAAATATATACACTCACATTCATCAGACTGTGGAGATGTTTCCAGGATAATCCTCTCAAAATAAACAAAAATAAATAAATTAAAACCACATTTAGAACATGATTTATTATCTGCAGAAGGATATTGTGCCAGGATAAATCAAGAATTGCGGGGCTTAAAAACCTAAAGTTTGAAAGGCTCTCAAAAAATCTTATTGCCTAAACTACAGCATTAGCAAAGCTGAAAGTCTTTTACTTGAATTAAAGGAAGGTATTTCACATGGCTCTGAAAAAAGAAAAGTTTGAATACTACATTTGGTCAGCATTTGACAATTACTTTCCAAAGGAAATAGACACTGAACCCAGCGAACTTTATTCTGTTGGTCCTTTTAAAAATGAGTTCTACCTGGGTACACATAGTCATCATATTCTGGTTGAAAGGGTCCTTAATATTTTCATATCTCTACTTTGATGTTTCAATCTTCTGATTACTAATGTGGATTCTCAAGCTCTGTAGGGGCAAACATAAATATATTTGTTCTTGGAAAGGGCAGACTTCTGTATATTTAATATGTGAATATTCTGGTTTCTTCTTCAGTCTATTTTTTTTTTTTTTTTAATTTTTGAGTCAGAGTCTTGCTCTGTTGCCCAGGCTGGAGTGCAGTGGCATGATCTCCCCCTCTGGGGTTCAAGCAATTCTTCCATCTCAGCCTCCCAAGTAGCTGGGACTACAGGCACAAGGCACCACACTTGGCTAATTTTTGTATTCTCAGTAGAAACGGGGTTTCACTGTGTTGGCCAGGCTGGTCTCGAACTCCTGGCCTCAAGTGATCCTCCCGGTTTGGCCTCCCAAAGTGCTAGGATTATAGTCGTGAGCCACTGTGCCCAGCTCTCTTCAGTCCCTTTTAGCATTTAATTAGAATAAATCAATCCCTGAATAGTTATCAACTCTGAGTGCACTCCGGTTCAAAATTTACAAAAGAGTACCAGAATGAGTTATGTGTGAACCCCTGAACTGAGTTATACCACTTCTGTAAAATAGGAATAATGATAAAAGAGCTTATAGTTACAAAAACTCATCCATGTTTATTCTTGTTTCTAAGTTGCCTTGATTCATCTGAAGTTTTAATCTACTCCTTTTTAAAAACTCATTGGAGAAAATCTTACTCTACTCTAGTCAAATCATAAAGTATAGAAAAATATTCTTTGTAAAGCATAACTTAATTATCTTACAAAACTTAAAAATAACAGTTTTTAAAATATACTTAGAAAATGTCTCTCTTAAAAGTTTGAATGGAAGAAATCATCATTTTCTCTCTGCTAGTTGGAAATGTTTACTTAGAAACTCTGAGAGAATTAACTTAAAAAAAATTTAGAACTAATCAAGAGAAGTCAGTTACATAGTCCACATAAAATTATCAGTGATTTTCCTGTATACTAGCAATGACCAGTTACAATTACATTTTAAATATTTTAGTCACTATAGTAACAGAGACCTTATAATACCTAAATATATCCAAAAAAGTATATAAGACCTGTATAACTCCATCTATAATATTTTACTGTGGGAACAAAAAAAAAATTCTTTTTTTTTTTTTTTTTGTCTTATTGCAATGCTTTAGCACAATATTGCAGAGTAACGGTAAAAGCAGAAACTTTTTCTTTTCTTTTTTAATTGAACAGCTTCTAATTGTGTTATAGTTAAAAAATTCTTTTTTTTTTTTTTTTTTGTCTTATTGCAATGCTTTAGCACAATATTGCAGAGTAACGGTAAAAGCAGAAACTTTTTCTTTTCTTTTTTAATTGAACAGCTTCTAATTGTGTTATAGTTAAATATAATTATGTCTGACTTAGGTTTTTGGCAGATGTCTAGTTGAGGAGTTTTTCTTCTTACATTGTAGTTTTGTTTGTATTTTGTTTTTAAAATGTGAAATGAATTCTGGATGTTATAAAACAATTTATCTGTTGCAAAGTGAATTTTACATTTTTCTTCTCAAAAAAGTATATACTTAGGCAGAACTAGCTTTGCATTCCTAAGATAAACCTTTCCTGTTAACACTGGTTCATAATATATTTGAATTTTTATTGCAATTTTGATTTCAATATGATAATACTTCAGGCTAAAAATTTTTAGCATATGCTTACAAGTTATCTCAGCTTACAGTTTTCTTTTTTCAGTCTCGCGATATTTGGGTTATACTATATTTAGAGAATGGATTGCGAAACTTTCCACTTATTAATGTTCTGGAATAACTGACACAACATGGGAATTATCTGTTCTTCGAAAACTTAATTGAAATGGACCATGTTGGTCGTAGACACTTGACTATCATTTAAAGTTATATTATGCTATATTCAGATCTTCTTCTTCTTCAGTTTTGCTAATTACCAGAAAATTATATTTGTTTTATATTTATTGATAAAAATTTACATATAGTCTTGTCGTATTAAAAATCTCTTCCATATGTAAATAACATTTCCTATTATTTTTAGGCAAGCTTGTTTATTTAATCAATCTTTTAAAAACACCAGCTTTTGATTTTCAAATATTAGTGATTCTATTTCATTAATTTTTGATTTTACACTTGCTCATTCCTTCTAATTACTTTGTTTTCCTGCATTGGTCATATTTCACAGTTTTAGATATGTGAGGATATCAGTGTTTTTCATTTTAAATAATTTATAATTTGTCTATTATGCTTTAATATATCATTTAATATAACATTAAAATTTTTAAATAAATAGATTGGAGATGTGGTGGTTTTTCTTTTTTAATTATTTCTCTGATTTTGTGAACGGTTTGCAAATAATTATTTCTGCTACAGGAAAGTGGTTGAAATTTTTTTGCCCTGATATAAGATCAATATGTATGAATTCTTTTAAGTGTTTAAAAATAATTAGTAAAATTTCAGAATTTTAGGAGCAATATGCTATATCAATTGAGGAAACCACACTCTTTAGAAAATTCTTCATTAGAGAGTGTCTGTAAGATGTTTTATAATCTTCGAGTATGACTATATATTTCTGAATTTTGCCTTATATTTCCAACAGATAAAAACTGTCCAAGGAATATAAGACTGTCATTTCAATATTTTAAAGGTATTACACAGTAAGGAAATTAGACATCTTAAATAAAATAATCTTTAAATTATTTTATTCTAACCAGCATTTAGCACTTAATTTTATACCATTTGGTCCCCTCCTCTACTTATTGAATGTGCGTCCATATACATCCTCAAGTGGGCTGTAATTTCCTGAAAAATGTAGTTTACATTTCCCTCAAAAAACAAAACAAAACAAAATGAAACAAAGGAGTGCTGGATGCATAGTCAGTATTTAGTAATGTTAATTGATTGATATCCACAAAGGAATTGCTAAGCCATTTAACATAAGGTGTACCTACTGCAGCTCTGGTCACATATCATTGGGAACTGAACTACTAAAATTGCTCCTTTGACGTAGGGGTACACATTAGGATAGCTTTCAGCTCACACTGATTCTCCTATAACCAGATCTAACTGTAATCTACCAGTGACGTAAGATGCAGCTGGCCAATTGTCCCAGAAACAAGAGCAAGCTAGAATAACTATAGAATTCTTTTCATTATTGAACCCTTGATGAGAAACTTC